ATCAACTTTATGTTTCATCGGGACACGGTACGTAACCTCCAAATGACGTCGTCGGACAACTCATCGGAAGCCGGTTCATCGCTTGCCAGTAGCGCCGTTGCTGAAGCAGCAGCTCGCAATGTACGTGTTAAAGTTAAGCAGCGTGCAAATTTGCTGGCACGTTTGCAATCTTGGCACATTGGCATCGACGGCCCTCAGCCACTGCGCCAGCTGGAAGTCAAATTGGCCTTAGTGGAGCGCCACTACAACGCACTTGAAGAACTGCAAACTCAACTGGAGATGCTTGATGAGTCGCAGCTAGAGGAAGACCATCGGGCTGCCTTTGAACAGTCGTATATCCAAGCAAAGGCAGCACTCACCGACCGCATGGCCACACTACAAGCCATGGAAAGTCCGCAGCAGTTCAGCAGCACGCATATTTGCAACGAGCGCAAACAAACTGGCCGCATTAACTTGCCAAAACTTCAATTGACGCGCTTCAGCGGAGAACAGCGTGATTGGTTGGACTTTTACAACTCTTGTCCACAACAACAAAGATCTGTCCGATGTTGAAAAATTCCAGTATCTGCGTTCGTGCTTAACAGACAAGGCATCGCGGCTGATTCAGTCACTCGAGGTGACCAGTGTCAATTATAAGGTTGCGTTGGAACTTATCGTTGCTCGGTTCAACAACAGCCGCCTCATTTTTCAAGCGCACATGCAGCAGATTTGTGACATCCCACCACTATCGTCAGCGACAGTACCAGCCCTTCGTAATTTCATCGACATCGTTAACGTAAATCTTCGCGCAATGCAGTCATTGGCCACAGCCCAGCAAATAGGTGATGGAATTTTGTTGTACTTAGTGTCGAAAAAGCTAGATGCACCCACGCTTACACGGTGGGAAGAGGAGGTATCCGCCAAGTGGAATCCCTCTCAGTTATCACAACTGCGGATGCCAACATGGGCCGATCTCGCCACATTCTTAGAAAGCCGTTGCCAGACTTTCAACATGCTGGAGGCAACTCAATGTGTCAAGACTCTATCCACTAAAAAACCACTACCGAAGAAGAATCAGCACGCCTTTGTAACCACAGCAGCTACAACAAAATGTGTACTATGCGATGCCAGCCCATACCACAGTCCATTCAACTGCGAGCCATTCATGAAGATGGACCCTGTCGAGCGATATCTTCGAGCAAAACGGCTGCATTTATGTCTTAACTGCCTTGGTAGGAACCATTACTCTAGTGCATGCCCGTCTCTTCGTAGATGCCAGCACTGCAAGGTGAGTCACCATACTTTACTGCATAGGACATACGGCGAAGATAAGTCAGCAAACAACAAAAATGCAGACAGCAAACAAACAGCGCTTCAAGCCGTCAAATGCACAGGCGAAGTCATTCTCGCCACCGCCCTCGTTCGGCTATTTAATTCTGCGGGCTCCTCAGTCATCGCTCGTGTTCTGCTAGACTCGGGCTCGCAGCTAAACTTCGTAACAGAACACATTGCGCAGCATCTTCGCCTACCTCGTTCCAAGCGTAGTATCGAGGTAATAGGCATCGGCACAGCTACAAAAAAAACTCAGCAGATGTGTTCTGTAGAGCTGAAGTCACTTCACACCGCCTTTGCTACGAGCATCGAAGCTATGATTCTGCCATCAATAACGTCACATCAGCCAGCCAATCACATCAACTTCGACTCATGGAAATTTCCAAGAAACATCACACTAGCTGATAGCACATTTCACAAACCTGGTGGCATTGATTGCCTCATTGGTGCAGGCATGTTTTTCGACCTTTTGCTGGTGGGCCAGATCAAGCTTCCCAACACCTCTTCTGTACTCCAAAAAACTAAGCTGGGATGGATTGTGTCTGGAATAGCCCCGCCATTATCGTCTTCGTCACCATCATCATTGCATACAGCCTCGTCGTTACCGTTTTCGTTGTACAAATCATTCATAGCTGTTAGCAATCATCCTCAACTTGATCATCTGCTCGAAAAATTCTGGACTCTCGAAAGCTACAACGAGTCTTCAAGGTTTTTGTCAGCGGAAGAAAGGGCCTGCGAGAAGTTTTTCGAAGCCACAACCACAAGATGCCCTGTCACCAATAAATTCATCGTGCGCTTGCCATTAAAGGAAGATCCACAGACGCTAGGCCATTCATACGAGACTGCCCTTAAAAGGTTGCTCGGTCTAGAGTATAAATTCGCACGCAATCCGTCGTTGTTGAAGCAATATTCTGAGTTCATGGGTGAGTACGAGTCCATGAAACACATGACTGAACTTGAGAGCAACACGAAAGGGCGCTAATTCATCCCGCATCACTGTGTGATGAGAGCAGACAGTAGCACCACGAAGTTTCGCGTCGTCTTTGATGCATCGTGCCGTACAACGTCGGGAAAGAGCTTAAACGAAATACTTCGTTTTGGTCCCACTCTGCAGGACGACATCTTTACCATACTAATTCGCTTTCGTAGTCATAAATATGTGCTCATGGCCGACATCGCCAAGATGTACCGTCAGGTACTAGTGCACGAAGCTGATACGCCTTGGCAGTGCATAGTGTGGAGAAGCTCACCCGAAATCCAACCGAAGGTGTACAAACTTCAAACGGTAACTTATGGCACCAGCTGCGCGCCATACCTGGCGACTAAATGCCTACTTCAACTTGCCAGAGATGAGTCTTCCCGCTTTCCAATTGGGGCTGCCGTCACACTGAAGGACTTTTATGTCGACAACTTAATGACTGGTGCGTCAACGGTCAACGAAGTTATCGCCATAAAACAACAAGTCACGTCGCTCCTCAGCAGTGGTGGTTTCCCGCTACGCAAATTTGCGTCGAACCATATGCACGTCATAGAGGACGTACCCCAAGAAGACAGGGAAAAGAGCGTAAAACTAGGCGATTCCGAATACGTGAAAACTCTTGGATTAAAATGGTCACCAGTAGAAGATATTTTTATCTTCAGCTACAACAATCGTTCGTCGCAGTCGAAGGCAACCAAGAGGTCCATATTGTCGCAAATAGCCAGCTTTTTTGATCCGCTAGGTCTTCTCAACCCTCTTATCGTCTCGTGCAAACTACTCATGCAACAATTGTGGGAGCTTAAACTAGACTGGGATGAAAGCGTGCCACAAAATGTCTACACACAATGGCGTAACTTCCATCAACAACTAAATCGGATCGACAACATTCAGATTCCAAGGTACGTTCCAATTAACGCTACTACTGAAAACCTTGCTTTTGCAGATGCTAGCTCGAGGGCTTACGGCGCTTGCATTTACATGGTTACCCGATCCTCTCGAGAAGCAGTGTCATCGTTGGTGTGTGCCAAGTCCCGTGTGGCGCCTAAGAAAGAAGTGAGTTTACCCCGCTTGGAACTGTGCGCTACAATGTTGCTAGCAGAACTCCTTCAATCTGTGGTGAACATATGCACAATTGAGTCAGAGCTCATTCATTGTTGGACTGACTCAACAATCGCCCTGTGCTGAATTCGCGGTGAGCCGTCCAGGTGGACCGTCTTTGTGGCCAATCGCGTTTCAAAAATTCAGCAGCTCACCGCACACTATACATGGCATTACGTGCCCTCGAAGCTCAACCCTGCCGACCTTGTTTCTCGCGGTGCAACTGTGGAAGAGATCAGGAATAACCAACAGTGGTTCCATGGGCCCTCGTTTCTAAAAATGCCGCACGAGAACTGGCCCAATTTATCATACGATATTCGTTTAAATCTGCCAGAACAACGCAAACAGCGGGTAGTATTGCTGACAGAACAACAACACGACATCGTTGCAGAGCATAAACATGTCAACAACTACAACAAGCTGCTTCGAATATTTACGTATGTGAGGCGGTTCAGCACGAAAAACCGAGCATCTTCTATCACTGCCGAGGAAATCACCACCACCATGTTAATGATTTGCCGATATATTCAGCAAAAACACTTTCGGAGCGAGTATGACAATCTCAAAGCCAATAGATCCATCACTAAAACATCAAAATTATCATCGCTGTCGCCGTTTTTGCACAACGACCTAGTACGTGTTGGCGGACGAGTGACAAACTCAACACTCACCTTCGATGCCAAGCACCCGATCGTCCTCCCGCACTCACATCCGTTCGTGTACGCACTCATTGCTCATCATCATCGAAGGCATCTTCATGCAGGTGCGCAGACTCTTCAAAATATACTTCGCGACCAATTTTGGATCATTGGTGGTCGGACAGCAATCAGGCAAGTAATTCACAATTGCATAATCTGCTATCGTCTCCGTCCAATTGTAGCCGAACAGATTATGGGGTCCCTTCCTGCATCGCGCATCACTGCATCCTATCCATTTGAAACGACTGGAGTCGATTATTGTGGCCCCTTTCTAGTCACCCAAAAAATCAGAGGGCGAACTCCAATAAAAACCTACATAGCCGTCTTCATATGCTTCACCACCAAGGCGGTACATTTCGAACTGGTGCCCGACTTATCAACGGCAGCGTTCATTGCAGCTCTTAAGCGGTTCATAGCTCGCCGAGGGAAGTGTCGAGCCATCGTGTCCGACAACGCCACCAACTTTGTCGGCGCAAATCGTGAACTGCGTGAACTATTGAAATCCTTCATTGCTCAAGAGCACATAAAGTGCGTTGAACAGTTTTGCAGGAACGAAGGCATAGAGTGGAGGTTCATTCCGCCAAGGTCCCCTCACTTTGGGGGCCTATGGGAAAGCGCGGTGAAGCTTGCGAAGAATCACCTTCGTCGTGCTATCGGTTTGCACATTTTATCACACGACGAACTACACACCGTCGTTTGCCAAGCAGAAGCAGTGGTAAACAGCCGCCCATTGACTCCAATTTCCTCGGATCCTAATGATCTTCGGCCACTAACACCAGGTCATTTTTTGGTACATCGAACGTTGACCACTGTACTCGAACCTACGCCAACGTCCGAGACAATTAGCGCTCTGAAACGTTACCAAATCGTATGTACCATACAGCAGCAGTTCTGGCAGCGCTGGCATCAGGACTACTTAAAGGAGCTACAGCGGCGTACAAAGTGGAATACAGCTTTCCCGAACTTATCCGTGAACGACTTGGTAATCCTGAAGGAAGATACAACGCCCCCGCTCAAATGGCCCATCGGTAGAGTCACTAAAGTTATTCCTGGAGACGACAACATGGTGAGAGTAGTGGAAGTTAAAACATCAGATGGCATATACAAACGGGCCATCGCTCGCGTTTGTAAGCTTCCCATCGAAAGCACAAGCTTTCAAGGGCGGGAGTATGTTCGCGCCGCGCCCCCCCCAACTAAGAAAATCATCGTCGCCTATGCCTACTCAAATTCTTCGCTGTCGCTATGTGCAATAACACTCACATGCACTCTTTGAACATAAATATCGCTTCCAACATTGCATCGCTGGAGCAGCCGCAGCCGCGGCCGCCGCCAACGTCAGCTTCGTCATTGTCTTTGTCTTCGCTGGAGCTCCAATAACGTTTATACTCACCAACTATTTTCGTCACCCACTTCGCAAATTTTTGTCACCTTAGTGCTGCAGCACTAACACCCGATTTACATGATTCAAGTACTTGAAAGCAATTCTTGCTCATTCTCTTTTGTGTTTTCTACTTGCTTTTACACGTTTCAATTCTGTTGAATTCAAGTTTGTGGTTCTTTAAATGGGAAGCAACGAAAATGGCAAAAGCAAAGCAAGAAAGTTGAAACGACTTGACGGTACAGACGCATGTGTACTCGTCCCTTTTCTTCTCACCCCCTCTCTTCCACAAGCGAGCAGAATTGAATTCAATACTTGAACTGTGTAAAAGCAGTCTAACTAAATATACATATTTTTATACATATACGTACATATGTACATGCATACATATTTACATACATACTTAAATAGGCATAGGTAAGAAATGTAAAAGAACAGCTACTGAAAGATCATTCGATTTTGACCTTCATTGCAAACAGTCGTGTAATTGCAGTTGTATAAGAAAGTAAATTAACTTTGATCAAGATTTAATAAATTAAATACAGTCCACCCAAGAAACATTTCTGCGTTTTACGTTTTCTGGGTTTTTTGGAGATCAAAATTTGTAGAAAAAGCTCTACAAATCACCAGATATAAAATATGTTTAGAGCACGCTTACATTCTAAGTTTTAAGGAGGTGGGTGGCGGCGGTGGGATCTCGACTTTGAGAATTTTGAACCTTTTTGGAAAATCTCAGACCAATTGGTCGATTACGGATAGCAACCGAACTTCAGTTGCGTTGCTAGCTGCCGAAACGATATTACAGATCAGAGGTCCAAAATAACCCTCAACACTTTGAAAGTGTCCCAAAATAACCGTCACTATTTAAGGGAAAAAATAACCCAGAAAACAGAACAGGTGGTTTATTTTTTGTGGATGTGTGCTCCTCTCAATGGGAAAGGGTTATTTTGCATATAGTTTCCGTTGCTGTTGGACCCTGACACTTATCGCTGGAAGAAGAAAAATAAGTGTTAGAAGTGCGTAGAAACACATCAAATTTCCTGTTGATAGAGAGAGAGAGAGAGATATAAGCAACGTCAACGTCACGGTCATGTTATTGATTTAACATCCGCTATCAATTAAGAAATTTATTTGATTTGTGATTTAGTTTGTTGACCAAATAAAAAATAAAATTATTTGTGATTTGATTTTTCAA